TTTACAAAACAGACTGTAAGCCAGATTTGGGCTATACATTGTAGTTTTCAAAAGAAAATTGTGATTTACTCTACTTTTTAGTAGGCTTGTCCAATCTTCTTCTAGCTGGTAGCTTAGCAATATATTTTATTGCTTATTGTTTTTGATTCTACTATTTTTTTTCCTGAAGAAACATTTAATACTATCAGTCTAAATGTTAAAGTTTATTTCTATTCCATTCTCTGAATTATAAAATGTAGATATTATTCTAATCGGCCTTCCTATGGTATTGTGGAATTTGTTTAGGTAGTCATTATTGTCTTAATTGTGTTGATGAAAGCTCTTTGATTGTATTGATCTCTAGAGATTTGTAGTCACTTAGGCCCTTGAACTGTTGATCTGCCTTTCCTCAATATTCTTTACTCTGCAACATTTAAAAGCAAAATCTTTAATAAGCAAACTCAACAGCAATTATATTACTTTAACTTGCTGAATAGCAAGTAAATCTCCTAACAGATTATAGGAAATTTTGGAATTGCTCCTGTATCAACATCATCCTCATGTTTCAAGGGAGCTGTGATTAATTTTAAATTGGTACATTTACTATCTATAAGAAATAAAATATTTACCTAATTGTGTTATGTAGTTTTTTATTTTATAATTCTTTGCAAAAGGGTACATGTTTGCGTAAAAGTGCAAAAAATAAAGCCATCAAATATTCTCAAAGTACTTTCAATTTCTAATTCACTGATGGATTCTACTAGAAAATTTAGTCAAATTTACAGTCAGACCTCTATGATTTGATTTTAGAAAAACTATCTTTATTACATTTTCTGCTTCTAAAAGACTCTGCTTTATATTAAAGTTAAGCTAGTTTTGTTCCTCCATGGTGCTTGGCTTTTAAAATAGAAGATCAAAAACAAGATAGGAAACTTTTCTGCTTGACATTATCCCTCTTCCAACTCTGTGTGTGTGTGTGTCTTTCAAGAATGCAAATATTAACTGTTTATTAGCTGTCATCTACATTTTTAAAAATTTTGGATAGAATTTGAAACTAGGCATCTTTGCAATTGAGCTGATTTTTTACCTTAAGAAGCAAATGAAAATTATTTGCACAGCATTCTAAAACTTCCCTTTAAATTAAAGAAACAAGCCACAAAATGAGTCTTGGGGTCTATTGTTGTGTTTGTATTTGAATTTTGTAATATCTGCTATAATAAATGAATTTTTACATGATAATACAGAGTTGAAACCCTGGTGGTTGCTATAAGGACAATATAAATGCAAAATGAAACATAAGACAGTGGTAGCATTTCCACTTGTAGCAGACTTAATTTTTTTTTAACAAAGTTAAAGGGGAAAAGCCAGAAATTATTTCCAGTTATATCCAAAAAATGATATAATGATGCAGTGTTATTCAGAGATGGAAGAAAAATATATTGAGTATTTTATAAAAATAATTAATGAATTCAAACATTTTGCTAATCAAATGTGAGAATTTCTCTCTCTCTCTCTTTCTCTCTCTCTCTGTCTTTCTCTCACTGCCATCAAGTCAGATGAAAAATAAAAATGAGTATTTTGCCTTGGGTATTGAGGAAACTTTTATAAATATTTTTTGAGAAAATTTAGAATGATAACATTAGGCAAGGGGAAAAATAAAGGAAAGAAAAACCAAGGAAACAGAACAGAAAAAATTATAAATAAAGAAGAAAAAACTAGTGAGAAATTCTATTTAATGAAACCTAATCATATTCCAATTTAATGTATTATGTTAAAAAAGCCTCTATTTTTTATATTTTATAGATTTTCTCTGTCTATAATCAAGAAATTTCATGTTTGAAGAAACTGAAATAGGTGAATTTAATAGTAAAATAGTGATGCTGTTATGGTGTAGGGCCTAAGGCACTTGACTACTGACCACCAGGCTGACAGTTCAAACCCAACAGCCACTCCTTGGAAGGAAGATTGGGCAATCTACTTTCGTAAAGTTACTGCCTCAGAAACCCAAGGAAGGGTTGGTTTGACTCGAAAATTGACTAGACGGCAGTGAGTTTTTTTTTTTTTTCTTTTAAGATAAAACTGACTCATTGTACTTAAAAAAAAATTCTTAGTTTCTATGTATGCAATGGCAGTCAGCCACAGGGATTCAGGTGAGGAAAGGGAACTCAGGCATGCCCAAAGCAGGACGGTGGGAGAAAGAGGATCAAAGAGAACTCAGGCATGCCCAAAGCAGCAGGGCGGGAGAGTGGGAGAAAGGGGATTAAAAGCCAGGAACCCAGACAGAGGAGCAGTCAGCTGCAGGGATCCAGGTGAGGAGAGGGAACTCAGGCATGCCCAAAGCAGCAGGTTAGGAGAGCGGGAAAAAGGGGATTAAAAGCCAGGAACCCGGACAGAGGAGAGTCAGCCGCAGGGATCCAGGTTAGGAGAGGGAACTCAGGCAAGCTCCTTGGAAGCGAGAATGGCCAGACTTCGTCTCACCTATTTTGGTCATGTTGTCAGAAGGCACCATTCCCTGGAGAAGAATGTCATGCTTGGTAAGGTAGAGGGTCGAAGAAAAAGGGGGAGGCCTTCAACAAGATGGATTGACACGGTGGCTGTGATGATGGGCTTAGGTATAGCAGGGATTGTGGAACTGGTGTGGGATTGGGCAGTGTTTCGTTCTGCTGTGCATGGGGTCGCTATGAATCAGAAATGACTCGATGGCACCTAACAACAACAACAACAACATGTATACAATAAAAGAGGGTGATCCAAATGAACAATTAAAACCAAATTTGATTTAATTTCATCAATGATTTCTCTACTATCTAGGTACAAGATGCTATGAGAAATATTTCTACTTAGCTATATCTTCATTCTGGGAAAAACTAGTTATTGATTTTCTATATTTGTCATTTACTTTTCAGTTTAATGTTGTGCTTAACAAAGAGAACAAAATGTTTTTTTTCTGTGCAAAATAGGTATATAGACTTAGGATTGATTATCATGGTTTTAAAATTACTTTTGTCTTTCCTTGAGAGAGTTCTGGTATATTCAGCTTTTTGTTTTGTCATGAAAAGATTCTTTGGATCTTTTTCCAACTAAGTTTTATAGTACAAGTTTTCAAATACTCATATAAATTGATGCTTTTCAACAAACTCTATTTTGGTTTCTAAAGTAAAGAACAGATTCATTGTGAACCTTAAGCACCTTTGATACTTCAAGCAAATAGAATGAATTTTTGAATATGAAAAATAATTTCCCCAATACTACCTCATCATATGTGATTTCTCATGTTTGTCTCTATCTTTGTAAAAGAAATCAGGAGAGTAAAAAATTAGAAAGTCAATAAAATGTCTAATTGTTTGAAAATAGTCACTAAAAAACGTAAATTCAGGAAGAGAAAGAGAGGTGCATGGGAGGTACAGGCAACCAAAATGAACCCTTTTGCACATACAATACTGCATTGTCAGTGAAGACAAACATTGTATAAGGGTATATAGATGGGGGGACAGGCTTAATTATTAGGTATGTCTATACAGGGGGAACTGTGACCATGACCATGTATAGGGTTGGCAGATAAGTTTCTACAAACGTATTTGTATGTTCTGTAAGAATTCCCAAGAATATAGGAGACCTGACAAGGGACAAGATTTAGTTACTTCTTGGCCACAGCCAGCTACCCAGAGGGAGTGAATAGTTGGATCTGTGGGCTCAAGACCATAGTTGCAGTGGACATCAAGTTCAACTGGCATAACATACTACACAAAAACATTGTTCCACATCCTACTTTGGCAAGTAGCAACTGGGATCTTATAAGTTTGCAAGCAGCCATCTAGATGCAACGATGGGTCTCTCCTCATCCAGAGCAAAGAAGAATGAAGAAAACCAAAGATTCATGGAAACAATTAGTCCAGGCGATTGGTACACCATGCGATCCTCAGGCTATACAACTATGAGACTAGAAGAACTAGATGGTGCCCGGCTACCACTGTCTACCACTCAGAGGGGGATCTATGTAGAAGATCCTGGATAGAGTGGGAGAACAATGTGGAACAAAACTCAAAATCAAAAAAAAAAAAAAAAAAGGGAGCAGGTTTGCTGGTTTGATGGAGGCTGATGGGACCCCTGAGACTATGGCCACTAGATGCCCTTCAGCTCTGGAATTGAACCCACTCCCATGGCTTCCAGCCAATCAAAAGACAGGCATATGAGCTGAACGTTTACATCAGGTAGATATACTCCTTGAAGAGATCAATCATGGGAGAATAGAAGGGCTGTGTATGCACAGGGAGATAGCTTGTGGGGAAGGAGTGCATGGGAGAGAAGGACACAGGAAAATGGTAACTATGGGGAGGAAGTGAGAGGGGAGATGTTGTGTTTTAGGAAATTGCAGTCAATGTCATGAGACAAAGTGTATGTGAGCTGCTGTATGGAAAATGAATTTTCTCTGTAAACATTCACCCAAATCACAATAAATTTTTTTTAAAAAAAAGGTAAATCAGTAAAAAAAGTTTTTTCCTACAGTTATTCTTGAATTATCATAAGAAAAAAGCAGCAAAATTCAAAAACAATGTCCAGAAAAATGAGTCATGTGCAAAGTCTTCTAATTTGAAGAATCTTTGGGTACACAGTCTTGGTCCAGAGAAGCATAATAACATCTGCTTTTGTTTACAGTTAGATGGGTAAATTCTAATTCTGGGACTGTATTTAAAGCATTTCAATATACACAAGTCACTTGACTGCTAACCAGAAGTCTGGCGGTTCAAACCCACCAGCCACTCCTCGGAAGGAAGATGGGGCAATTTACTTCCGTAGTGATACTGCCTCGGAAACCCAAGGAGGGGTCACTATGAGTCAGGTCTGACTCAATGGCACATAACAACAACAACAACAATATAAGAAAAAAAGAAAGAATTATCAGTGAATCCATTTTCATGGTAGTCCTGGATTCCTGGTCTCAAGGGATCAAATGCCATGTGTGGTTATAATGATTTTTTTTCCCTCTGTATCATTTCTATTTATTTATTTATTTTTGGCAGATTGTTTTAAATTTTACCACAATGGACCTATACAAGAGTAGCTTGTGCTGGTATGACTACATTGAAGTAAGAGATGGGTACTGGAGAAAATCACCTCTCCTTGGTAAGAGATTTACTTTACTATGTGGCTCCAAATACATACTTCCCTGCAGAAAGAGGACTGGGTAGTCTACTTCTGTAAAGATTTACCTCAGAAACCCAAAGGGGATTGCTATGAGTTGGAATCTACTAGATGGCAGTGAGGTGGGCTTTTTTTTTTTTTTTTTTTGAGTTCGTTGAAAGACAACCGATTCTTTCAGGAGTCTACTTAGAGTTAAATATGTGTGACTAATATTATGTTTATTTTTATTTTTCAACCATAGCAAAAATGCTTAAAAAATAGATTATTTGATTGGTTTAAACTAGCTTTCCACAGAATAATATATTAAAAGGTAGACACTTGGATCTAAACATAATGATCAAGAACAGTTTTGCATGTATTATGCTTATAATGTTGCCTCACAATGTTTACATTTTTTTTAACTTGAAAATCAAAGCTTTGATGAGAAAACTAGATAAATTATGTGTGTGGGTTTTTGTTTGTTTGCTAATGTAGTAGAGGGTGAGATGTTAGATACATGTTAGTAGCTGACTTCCTGTGACGAGCATGTTAGCTCCTACTACAGATGTCACAGTTTTGCTTCTCAGAGAGTTGTTTGTAATTTGTATCATAAATTGTCACTCCAACTCGGAGCATACGAAAGTCTGCTTCCAACGTTTAACCACAGACCACACCATTAACTCGCATGAGACAGTTTACTGTTGCCCTCTGTTTTACTTAAAGGTGAGAGCTTGTTTTGAGCATGTAAGCATTCACTCTATGTTGATTTTTTTCTTACGATCATGACGTTTTATTTACATTTAGAAGTAGCTCTGTTCGATGTGTCTGCACTGTACAGATTTTTTTCTTCACATTGAAATCAACTGAATGGACACTATTATATTAAAAGTGATGGCATCTTTAGTAAATCTAAGAGTTCTGTATAAATATTAAAAATGGGCAAAATATATTTATATCAAAATATGTCTGGCTGAGGAAAATATGTCTTGAATTTTTAATTTTTGCCTGGATGAAATAATTTGTAATCTAGTTATGTACATTTTAAGAAAACATTCATTAAACTCTTATGGAAGAATCATATGTAAAGCTAAAATTTTGGAGAAGACTTTGGGCATCATCAACATTCCGTGGTTCGATAATGTAATGGTCCAACATAACAGGCTGATGCTGTCTGATCATGGCTTTCATTTGCACAGCTTTTCACACTGTTTCCACTAAGACCTCATTCCTCCAATTATGGCCCTAAGAGTGGCAGTGTCAGAAAGACCTGGAAGGTTCTTAAAAATGTAGAAACAGGTCCCATTACATACCTTCTAAATTAGAGCCTGCATTTAAAAGGACATTTCTGCAGTTCATGTGCACTTTAGAATTTCAGAAGCACTACTCTATGCTATATGCCCCTAACTTACTTGAAATAGCCAAGAGGTTTACCTGAAAGGTCATCACTGAACTTAGCTAAACAGAAAAGTCAACATTAGGCTGAGAACATAGTAACCAAGTTACTCCCCTAATAAGGACCAGACTGACAATGTGAACCAGTTTCTCAGGATGACTTTTGCCTACTTTTTTCTGTTCTCCACCTTGATGAGTCATGTCATCTTTTACAAATAAGTTTCTTTGACCTGCTTCTTAATACCACAGATAACAATACATCTGTTGGTTAGTGTGAGGATAAAATGTTCAGATGCTTTATAAATAAACATGAAGAATTTTTTTTATTTATCCATCTTTATTCAATAAATGTTAAGACATAAGACATATCTATTGGTTGGTAATAGAACTATGAACCAAACTGGGTTTTATGTATGTCGTATGTAGGCAGTATAGAAAGCACATAAGAACTAACCAGTCATTTTTAGGAATCTACCTTTATTCTTTTTTTTCTTTTTAGGTAGATTTTGTGGGGACAAATTTCCTGAAGTCCTTACCTCTACAGACAGCAGAATGTGGATTGAGTTTCGTAGCAGCAGTAATTGGGTAGGAAAAGGTTTTGCAGCTGTCTATGAAGGCAAGTCACAGTGAATTTTACATATGATTTAATCTTAGATGTGTTCACAGAATGTCCTTTCACCCTATTTCATTAGAACAATATTGCAACCAACTTTTAAAATTATGAAATTTTGAAGGCTACACTATGATATTTATGTAGCTTATTTTAATAAGAATCAGCAAATTTAAATTGCAAAAGCAATCACTTTTGTGCTATCAGTGATATTTTGTAATTATCAGGTGCCAGGGAGTTGGCTCTGATTCACAGTGACCCTAGGCACAACAGAAGGAAACATTGCCCTGTCCTGTGCCATCCACAATCAGTGATATAGTATCATATAAATATACTCAAAGATGTGTAGAAAAAAAGAATTCCCAATTGACACAATAGCCCTTATATTTTAGTTGCATTTTCATTGTAATATTAACATATTATGAAGCCATCACTTTTTTTTTCTACTGTTTTGTTCTATTCGGTCCCCGTATTGCTGAAACATTCTTTATGGAGAACTGCACAGAAAGCAATTGTGCACATTTCTGGAGCATGCTTTGTCTAAATTAGAGAGTCAGCGCTCAAGGAAGAATGTATCAAATGCTTTGTTCTATATGTCACTAAAACAATAAACTGACATCGTACTTCCTGGTTTTAAAAAACCAGCTCATTTCTTGCCAGGTTGTGGGTTGAGAAAACTCCCCCTGCTTCTACTTCTGCTAATCTGTGAGTTTAGGTAATTTACAAGACAGCAGATTTCTGCTTCCCTTAAACATTTAAGGAAAGGAAGCATTTTGTTGTAAAAATTAGGTGTATAGAATGAAAAGGATTATCTGGATGGAGCCACAGATGTTGGCTGCACAGAGACCCAGCAAGTTCTGTGAAGGGTGAAGCTTCCCTCCTGCTCAGATCTTTGACAATAGGCCTAAGGAAGAAGTTCAGGGAATCACAGAATGGACTCACATAGAATAAATTTGCAAAATTCCTAAACGGTTTTTAAAAATTGCAAAAAGGATTTTTTTTGGTACAGTTTTGAAATAACTGTGGTTTGAAAAGTATATATTTCGTTGGAGCAATTAACTAGTATTTATACTAAAGTGACTAGGTATTTTACCATCTAAATATTTACAGTAGTATAACCAGCAGCTATAGAAATTGAATTAAAATATTTCCTTCAGAGAAAATGAAAATGAAATGACATGTCAAGGCTTGTTTGTTTATTTTTGCTTTCCTCAGCAATCTGTGGAGGTGAGATACGCAAAAACGAAGGACAGATCCAGTCTCCTAATTATCCTGATGACTATAGACCCATGAAAGAATGTGTGTGGAAAATAACAGTGTCTGAGGACTATTTTGTTGGGTTGACCTTTCAGGCCTTTGAGGTAAAGTCTTTTAGGCAACCTTCACTGAGAATATCAATAAATGACAGTGACATTTAAGAGAATCCTCATTAAATAAAGAAAGAAACAGAAAATCAGCCTTTTAATCAGTAAAGAAGCAAAGGATCACCTATAAAGTGTAACATCAAGAGCTAAAGGACTTTTTTCTTTTCTTCCTCTTTTCCTCTTGTTGCAGACATTTTCAAGAAGATTAAAGTGAGTTTACATTATCTGTGCTATTTGAATTGGAATGTTTGAAGTACTGACTATAGTTTCTTTTGATAAATGTGCAGGCTTGTTTCACAAGACTACTTGAAAGGTCCGTTAAATAATAGAACTTTTATTTCTCTTCTAAACCAAGAGGTTAAAAGGTAGACAGTCTTTTATGGTTTGGAGAAAAATCCATTTTTCACCTTTTTACTATTACAGAGAAAATTGTTTATATCAAAAATAGGAATGTCAGTGTTCTTTGGAGCTTTCAACTTCATTAGAAATATTTCTCAGTAATGAGATAAGTACCAGTGTTACTCTTTATTAGATGAAGGGTCAGAATAAACCACAGCCCAGTCAGAATTCTGGATCAAAGTCTGAGTCCAAAACTACCAAGTTGTGTAATGAATCCTTTTTGTGGAAGTGGGGGAACTGGCTAGGGATTAAAGTCAAGAGATGAGGGGAAGAATTTGTTCGGAACTCTGGAGAATGTTTAAATCAACGACACAGCCTAGAAATTAAGAGCCCAAGGTGAAGTGGGTAGAAATAATGAGATAATGGGGTAGGTCCAGAGAAAGGTTAGAAATCCAGATGCTGTTTTTGGAGATCCTATGCTTCTTTACTGATTGGAAGGCTGATTCCTGCCCAAGGCAGTGGAGAGACCCTTGCCCTCCCAGGATGTACTTGCAACTGAGTGCGGTGTAATTGATCACCTCTCTGTCCCCATAGCAGGGACCAGGGGAAAACAAACATAGCCCGTAAGTCCAGAGAATTTCACACCCCTGACTGTAGGCAGCCTGCACCATTTGTCTCTTCGGTGCTTGTCTCTGTTACCTTGCATGAATCATTTAATTTCCCAAGCCTATGTCCTTTTATCATGGAAAAATTTATGTTTTTCTTTTCTTTGATCATATGTTATATTTTATGCTATTCACCATTTTGCATTTTTGGAAATTTTGGTTAAATGTTAATTGTTTCACATTTCAATTTTATTATTTTAATGGACCAAAGAGATTGAAAATATTGTTCAAATAGGACAGTTTATTTTTAACAGTACCTTAAAATTGAACAGAGGTTCAATTTCACTTACTCTTTTAATCAAAATAGTTGAAAAATTATCCATGAAATAGTGGTATTACCTGTGTTCTGTCATATTGCAAGAACTAAACTATTAACATTATTCAACATATAATGTAATGATTTATGGACTTTTCCAATATAGAAGTGATGTCAGAGAATACATTCATCTCATGTATCTAAAAACACATTAATGAAATTGCTAGCTTAACTACTTTTGCAGTTTTGTTTCCTGATCTGTCAATATGTTCATAGTGATAATCTTAAAAAAATAAGATAGCATCAAGACAGGCAATATTTCCAGTACAGGTAGAAAGTCCTTGCTTGAGAACTTCATGGTCACTAAGCTCTGGGATGGGAGCTCTGGTGGCATAGTGCCTAAGGCATTCGACTGCTAACCAGGAAGGCAGGTGGCTCAAACTCACCTGTCATTCCTCAGAGGGAATGGTGGGCAATCTACTTCCATAGTGATACTGTTTCAGAAACCCAAGGAGGGGTCACTATGAGTCTGATCCGACTCAATGGCAGTGAGTTTGGTTTGTTTTTGATTTTAAGCTTTTAGACTGGGAAAAAATCTTGTCATAATTTGCCTGATAGATTCCTATCTTTTCATCTATTAAAATAAATCAAAGAAGCAATTAGAGCCATTTTCCTTCATTTTATTTTCTTATTTTTCCACCTCCTTTATATTCTGGGCATAGTTCAATATCTAATAGGTTTCTCAACTTAAAATGACAAAAACCAAAGTCTTGATTCCTTGTCTTTCTCACTAATCCCTCTCTTCTTCAGTCTTCCCTATTTCAGTGCTTGGTGTCACAGTTTACCTAAGGAAAGTCTCCAATTCCACTAAACCAAAAAAAAAAAAAAAGCCAAACTCACTGCTGTCAACTCGGGTCAGACTCACAGCGACCCCTCCTTGGGTTTCCTAGGTGGTATCACTACAGAAGTAGATTGCCCAATCTTCCTTCTGAATAGTGGCTGGTGGATTTGAACCACCAGCCTTCTGGTTATCAGTCAAATGCCTTAGGCACTACACCACCCTGCAGGCAATCTATCAGCATATTTCATTAATTTTGTCTTATAACCATATCCCACACATGACCAATTCTTTGAGCACCTTCTCAAAAGAAGGTGTCCCTTCTCAAAAGGCTACAGTCCCTTCTCTATGGGACTGAAGTGATGGCCACAGGTTTCTACTCTTGCCCCACATGTCCTGTTCCCCACAAAATAGCCAAAGTTTTCACAATGTAAATTAGATCACACCACTGTTCTACTTAAATACTTGCATGGGTTTTCCATCAAAGCTAAAATAAAATCTAGACTCAGTTATCATGGACCTAGGAACTCTGCAATTTGTTCCCTGTTCAGGCTTCTCGCTCCCACTATTCCAGCCCCTGTACTCTCCTTTCTCTTCCTCAAAAATGCCAAGGTCACTCCCACATCACTTCACTTGCCATTGATATCCCTTTATTTCTAGATCTTTCCTCCTATCTCATTTCATTTTGATCTCTGCTTAATAATCACCTCCTTACAAAATCCTTGCCTGCGATCTTTATTTAAAATATATTTCTACCCATATTAGTCTCTATTCCCTCACTCTGCTGGATTTTGGTTCATTGCTCTTACCACTGTTGTTCTTGTTATGTGCCATGGAGTCGGCCCCGACACATAGCGACCCCTTCTTGGGTTTCCGAGGTGATATCTCTACAGAAGTAGATTGCCCAACCCTCCTTCCAAAGAGTGGCTGGTGGGTTTGAACTGCCAGCCTTCTGGTTAGCAGTCAAGCATGTTAGGCACCACCCTTACCACTACTGGGATTTATATTGCAGATCTTTTTGTTCGCATGTTTATTGTCTTTCTCCATCACTAGAATATGATCAAGCATTATTATCTGCTTGTTGTTTACTGTATTTCCAGCACCAGTACATGCTTTGTTAATATTTGATCATAAAAAGGATGAATGCATGGATGGATAATATGTGAGGAAGTATTTGAGTGCATGGTGGTTGGTGGGTACAAATTAATATACCCTTTCATTATCAGAGGTATTGAGTTTCTATGCAGAGGAAAACAATCTTTACAGTTAAGGAGGGTTTAGATTGTAGAAGACCTAGTATATTAGGTTGTGAATTTAGGCTGGAGATCCAAGAAATTAGGAGACAAGGAATTCAAAGTTGTCCTAACAAGCCACTGAAGTCTTCTATGTAAAGAAAGTGGGTATGGCATTCACAGAAGTGAATGCTAAACCAGCATTAGATATAGGCATATGTTTGTTTACTTGCTCTAGTAGTTACTGTTTAAGTTGTTTAATTTAGTCACTTAGTTATCTGTTTATGTCAATGCTATCTTTTCCATAATGTTTTCACCACAAAGATTATGTGTTTATAATGGAAATATATATTAAACACAAACAAACAAACAAAATCCACCCTCAGATATTCAGAGTGCTTTTTAGTTTTTTCCTGATAAGGCACAAATTTTATATTCTATTATGGAATGAGGGAGCTCTGGTAGCATAGTGGCTAAGACACTTGCTTGCTAACCAGACGGCTGGCGGTTCAAACCCACCAGCCACTCCTCGGAAGGAAGGTTGGGCAATCCTACTTCTGTAGTGATACCGCCTCGGAAACCCAAGGAGGGGTCGCTATGAGTCGGGCCGACTCAATGGCACATAAGAACAACAACAACAACAATTATGGAATGAATGGTGTCCCCCAAAAGTATGTGTTGTAAATCCTAACCATGTGAATATAATCCCATTTGTAAATATAGTTTTCTTTTTTATGCTAATGAGTCCGTATCAGTATAGGGGTGTCTTTTGCCAACCACTACTGAGATATAAAGCACAGATTAGGCACAGGAGCAAGCAAGCACAAACACAGGGCTCGATATAGGCCACAGGAAGATTGCCAGTGTTCAGTTACCTAGTGCGGATCTGACAGGAATAGACCACCAATGGGATGGCTTTCACCAACAATTTATTCTCTTACAGTTTCAGAGGCTAGAAGTCTGAGTTCAAAGTGCCAGGCTCTAGGGGCTGGGTGAAAGCCCCTCAACCTTGGGCTTCAGCTCTGCCTCTTGTTCCTGCCCCACTGAAGCTAGAGGCTTCCTTCGCTCAGGCAGCTACTGGCTTCTGAGGCTTACAAGCCCAACGTTGACAAGTAAAAAGGCACAGTCCTGATGTTACCAAATCACACAGCAGGCCATTAATTCAAGTCCATTAAAAGTCCCAAGATTGGCAGAGCATGGCAAGCTACTGAATGAAGGCTCAGCTACATGCAGGGTTCAAGTGTGCAAAAAAGCTAGAGACCTTACTCAAAGCTGCTTCTTATATACTGAAAGCAGCCCACATCCCTAAAGCAGCTACACAACTGCTCCAGTAGATTCCACCATGGAATTGATTGCCAGTCTCACCATGGAGAATAACTACATCCAGCTACCCAGCCACTCATTCAGGCCCAGCCAAGTGAGCAACAGCCTTAACTACCAAAGCCAATGACAAAAGCTGAAAAGAGACAAGGAACTTCTTCTCTCTCAGAGCCTACTTGTTGTTATATGTGGTTGAGTCATCTGTGACTCATAGCAACCTTATGTACAATAGAATGAAACACTGCCCAGTCAGAGCCCACAGAGAGAGAAATCCATCCCTTAGAGTTGGTTCCCAAATTTGGATTTCTAGCCTCCTAAACAATGAGAAAATAGATTACTGTTTGTTA